AGTCAGATCATGCTAGAATACAGACACACAGTACAATACTAACAGAATATGATAATGTTATATGCCAGATCGTTAGACGTCGGCTTCTCATCACAGAGGCTTGGGTTCAGATCCACAAGCATCCCACGGACATGTTCTCCTAGCCTACAGCTTCAGCCTGATTGTTATCATTCCAGTAATGCCCCCTACAAGAGAACTATGATCCGGGGATGATACAAAACGCCCAGTTGAGGTCGCAGCACAAAAGGACTCTTTCACCTGACTGTACTTCTCTCCTACAGCAACATAATTATCTAACATAATTATCTATTTTCATATTGACTCCTTTGAGGTATTACAAATCTGGTATTTCAATCAAGTGGTGAATCTACCCGCTTCCCTGGCCTATTTAATACGAAACTATGAACCGCTGACATTTTGTGACGTTTCGGCACAAAAAGAAACTGACTCAGTGAAAAAGAGCTTTTAAACATTCGCGGAAAGAATATTGTTTAAATTTTTCAACTTTTAGTGACTTGACACTGGATTATTCATCTGACAGGAGTACACACAAACGTCATTACCGAGTTCACTAGAACCTGGAACTGAAACCTCTCCTGGGTCAAATCAATCTTCCGTTGCTTAGGTCTTTCGGAAATCCGCATAGGAAAATTTATCACGAAGTAATCACAGGTGACGTCATGATAATCATAGAGCTGTCCTCCCAGTGAAAGGCCGACCCACCGATAGAAAGCACTCATGTCGCCAATTCTTTTCAGTGGCGTGCAGACACGATTACTACTCTGTAATTATATGCATTTCCGGACCCATGTTGTCATATACTTTATTTCTTGTCTCTACATGAGGAGTTCGTTCCTGAAGTCTTGCCGTTGTGTTGTGACACACCCTGTATAGTATCGAACGATACCATGATTTGTGAATATTGAACTGAAAAGTATGTGGAAGGAAACATTGGTTTCCTACTTTGATTCTCCTTCCAGCATCAACTGAAGGTACTGAGGAAAACTACAAAGACATTACTCAGTACAGCCTGGTGGAGATTTTACTAGAGACTCCCGTATATGAAGAGGTCGTATGTACCCAAAGTGAGTGGGTGGTGGAAGTTCAGGTCAAATCTACAGGTTCAAAGTGAACTCGACACTCGTTACCTTCTTTCCAAAATGTTTCGTTTATAACCATCATTCTTTTGAGAAAAAAAGGCTCTTACTCCAGCCTCAGGAGTTTTAATGGGGTGATAAAAAAGGCATTAAGAAATTTCCATAAATGAGGAGCCTTATAAATTGTAGAAATATTATTTTGCTGCCCATTATCCGTCGTCCTGTCTGTTGGGCCTAATCGATAGAGATTATTCCCTGCTCAAGCTTTTTTCTCGCTGTCGTATTTTTCTACCATGAAGATGGAGGCAATGCGTTCTCCGAAACGTCGTTTCAAACAAGATCTACACTGCGCCCTATCCCAGAAGACGGCATTCTTCATAGTCACCGCTGTTGGAAATTCAAATCTTACAAGGATGTGATTGACAGTGACAGTAGCACGAAATGAGAGAACATGAATGCATACAGGTTTTTGACGAGAAAGTCAGAAGTAAGAGACCTCTATGAAGACACAGGCGTAGCTGGGGGTATAATAATAAAATGGATTTTGGAGAAATAGAATTGAATGGAGGGGACGGGTGGATGTGGCTCATGGTATGGAGGACGGACGGACTCTTATAAGCGTAGTAATAAAAGTTCGGGTTTTATAAAAATGTTGGAAAATCCTTCAGTGGCTTAATGACTGGTAGCTTCTCAAGAAGGACACAGCTCATGGATTTATTCAGTTAGTTTAAGTGCATTAAAACTTGCAGGCTTTCTTGTATATACTGACGAAGGAGTAACAATCGGTTGAGTTTTTATTGGAACCATTGAAGATCTGAATGAATTTCTTTTTCATTTTTTCCAGTATCTTAGTGAAAAAGTTGTGGTTGTTTCTGAATATTCTGTGGCTTTACCTAAGTTTTCCAAAAAATATCTGGTTCGCTGGAAACACATAATCTCCACTTACTGGTACAATTGTGGGCTTCGTCATCCAGCAGAGAGGCTTGAAGCTGCCTTTGCGGGTTGCTTCCTGGAAACTCCTGAAGTGGTTTTCCCAGTCATACGTAACGAGACGGCTTTCCAGCGTCATGTCTGCTAGCTCGGGTGGAGACTTGATGCGCACCGGATTCGAACCCCTGCTCACAAAGGAAATACATAATGGATATTGGAGCAGTACACTGTTGGGTACGACTGAGTAGAACTGCTATTGCTTTATTGCTATATTTCACACACTCAAAACTACATTCACAAAGATATTCTCTGCTTGTACCGGTTCTCACGGTCTCTTCGCTTTCTACCCTGAAGATGGAGGCGATATGTTCCTCCGAAACGTCGGTTAACACCATATCTACACGGCGCCACATCCCAGATGACTGCTTTCTTCATATTTTTACTTGTTGCTTTGTTTGCATGTGAGAATTACTTTCCCATGTAAGGGAGACGACAGACGAAGAGCATTTGAAAAGAGGGATCTTAGAATATTTGGATCTAAGAATGTGAAAGGATTAGAAGAACGGTAAAAACTGAGTAATGAGGAGGTTACTCTTTTCTGATCCTCATCATTATTGTTGATATGACTTAATGTCCCAGGATATGACGTGCTGGGCCTATAGCACTCATGGAACACATGATAAATAAGTAGGAAACGGAGGTGTGATAGTGGAAATTATACGTAAAAGTATAGGAGATGACACTATTAAAATGGATCATAAAGAGATGGAGTAGGGGAAATCGACTGGACTCGTTTTTTTAAGGACAGTAGCCCGTGGAGCTGTCTTATGAATAAGAAAATGGACCGTCAAATTCCATAAAATTGGGACATTTCTTGACTTGCTTGGAGACTTTGCCATGAAATTAGTCTGAATTACATTTTCAATTATATTCTCTTGTAGATATAAATTCCTCGAAATATTCCTAATATAATTAATTAATTAAAATAATTTTGAAATATTTCATATAAACTGCTGTTCTCGGAACGCTAACAGCAGGTTCGTTCACTGGTTCTTATGTAATTTATTTATAGGTCGCTGTGTTAAAAAAGTGGCAACATGAACTGAGACGAGGGAGAAATTACGGACTACGAGGAAACGGTCGTAACTTATTTTATGATAATATTCCGTGGAAAGATTAAAATATAATGGACACTGATTGTTGCAAACAAGAAGATGGTACCTCAGACACGTAGCGAAACAAATATAAAGAGTTCAGTGGATAAAGTCTTTATCAGAATATGTGTGATATAGTTGGACATGCAGCTGAGTCCTTCTTGACAAGCCACCAGTCGCTCAGCTACTCAAGAATTTATAAATATATTATGCAACCCGAAATTTCATTACCTTGTTCACATGAGTTCTCCAATAGCCCCTCTCTAGAATTTGATTAATCCAATTCATACCGCCCCATCCTATTTTTCTATAATCGATATGTTCCTCCGAAACGTCGGTTGACACAACATGTACACGGTGTCACATCCCAGAAGACTGCTTTTTTCAAGAGTACATGTGTTTGTTGTGCGCAGTTAGTAGCAATGTGTGCAGTGCATAGAGATAGTTGATGTTTCACAGCAATGTTGCAGGTCTTCTCAGGTATATGAAGACGCTTTTCTGTCTCTGTCACATTTAGGTACTGAAAGATTCCTCTGGGTCCAGTTAGAACCAATTCCTGGAGGATACCGACGTGACTATTTGCAAAAAAAGAAAAAAGGGCCATTCGGGAGTCATTGAGTTTACTGTTGTACGTGAAGGGAACTTGACTTCCAGCACGAACGTGAGGCAATGTTACACTGAACTTGTGGTACGAGAGCCTTTCTGAGGGTTCGAGATTGCTTCACAGCCACGCCATTCGGTCGCATAACGAGCGCTTTCAATTTCAGAATAATAACTGCAGATTACGCAATGAGGTTCTTCATAAATTTCGCTTTCCAGCATGTGGACAATTTTCAAGTATGGGAGATCCGAGGAATGAACGCGGTATTCTTGTCAAGAAGCTTCATGGAAAGAGGCAGTTTAGACCATGTCAGCGTAGATTCCGAATAATGCTAGAATGGACCTTAAAGAAATAAATTATAAAGGCGTGTACTGGACTGACCGCCTCTGTGGTCTAGTGGTCAGAGTTCCTGGCTACAGATTCAGAGGTCCGGGTTCACTACGAGATTATTTCTGAGAAGTAGTGGGTCTGGAACGGGGTCCACTCAGCCTCGTGATGATAATTGTGGAGCTATTTCAAGAAAATAGCGGCTCCGGTCTAGAAAACTGAAATTAACGGCAGTGGGGATTCGTTGCGCTGACAATGCGACACTCTCTATCTGCAAAAGTTGGCACTAACTTCGCCGACAAGGGGCGGTCGCTAGCTCAGTCGATATAGTTCGCTTGCAGAGTAAAATCACGGAGATTTTTTTGTTTGTGTGCTAGATTAATCTGACTCTGTGCAAGTACTAGTGGCTGGATCTTGCGTAAATTATGTAAATGTGTCCCTCCCCGCTAATATCATTTTCGTCCCTCGCTCTCTTCGCTGAATTTCTTGAATTCTATTTCGAGAAATACGGCCACTGTAATCATCCGTATTGAAGCATACAGTACATTTGATACAGTTTGTTTCACACTCAAGAGGATGTTATTCTTTAGAGCTCGAACTTCAATATTTTGAAATATATTTAAAAATAAGTAAAAATTTTACTATCGCAGCCTTAAAATCGCTACAGAAAAAAAAAATATTGTACGTATCGCGAGACGGAACGATGATGATAATCACCATCTTGAACATCTGATGCTTCAAGACCGGTCCACCCTCCTAATGAAGGCTACAACGCAGTCTCCTCCACAGGTTCGGTCACCTAATGAGGCCTCTTTCCTTAGCTATACAGGGTGTTACAACTCTTTGTGGTACATAGATGGGTTCAGTGTGATCATGTTTTGTTAATACGCCAATGTCCGGAAACGCTTCTTTTTGACACTAAGGCTCACTAAATTTTCCGAGAGGATGCATAAGTTTTAGGGGATGTTATCATTGTTTTATATTTAAAAAGTTGGTCAAAATTGCGGCCGCTGACTTCACTGCGTGTTCTGCACCGCCTGGCTATGTTATTCTCAAATATTTTAAAATATTCCCGGCATTTTCCGGATGGTTCCAGCTGCTACTGCAATTCTTGCCACAAGATCATGTTTTGTCTCCACTGGGGTCTCGTACACCAGGCTTTGCATGTACCCCCTAAAGGAAGAAATCCAATTGAGTCAAGATAGGAGAGCGAGGGGGCCAGGTTATTGAGCCTCCACGTCGAGTTCCTCTGTTGCCAAAAGTTTCATCCAAATACTCACGGACGACATTAGTGCAGTGTGCCGGGGCTCCATCATGCTGGAACCACATTTCATGAGGGACTTCCAAACGTACCACATCCAGCAGCTCGGGTAAGGTCTCTTGGAGAAATGTTAGGTAAATGTCACCAGTAAGCCGCACAGGTAAGAGGTGAGGGCGTCCTCCTTCACATTTCAGAGGCCGTAACGCGTAAACAAAGCGTTTCCGGGTTTGGGTGTACTAAAAAATATGGTCACATTGAACCCATCTATCTGCCACAGAGCGTTGTAACATACGATGGGGTACCCAAAAGAAACCGAACTAATTTTTTTGTGGGCAGAGTTTTAGTAGTACCGCGTTTTGCCACTATGAGCGCATAGAGCTAATATTCCTGAGTCGATAAGCCGACTACCGTTGCTTCAGAAGGTAAGGACTAGTTTCGGCAGAGTTTATAGTGACAACTGTTTTGTATGATTGTCGTTCTTGCAATGGCTGATTTTCGTGAACAGCGTGCGGCGGTGAAATTCTGCTTTTTGCTCGGGAAAAGTGGAACAGAAACTCTTGAAATGTTAAAAACGGCGTACAAGGACGATGCTATGGGGAAAACTCAAGTGTCTGAGTGGTTTTCCCGTTTCAAAAATGGTGAAATGTCAATTGATGACAAACCTCGTTCTGGTCGTCCTTCCACGGCCCGAACACATGAAAATGTTGAAAAAA